CATGTACACATACAGACAGACGGACAGATTAACGAACGAATGCATAAAAGAATGGACAAAGGGAGTCTAAGTTAGACAGAATAGGGATGAATGAACATACATGGTTTGTATGACACAACGTAGCCTTAGATTCAATCATATTTCACATTATTCGCAGTAAGGCGAGTCTTACATTTTAGAACTTTAACTTGGTAAGGTTTTACTTATTTGCGAACCTTAATTGTCTGCTCATGTTTGTTCTTACAAGTATATATATCCCAATATTACACTTTTGATAACATACCTGGTAAGCAATTTGCCATGAGTACATGTCACCTATTTTTTTCTTCTCCAATGATGCACAACAATGCCTCTTTCCTCCAGTAATGTACAGCAAACTTCTCGCATAAGCAGAGAAGTCATTGAAAGGTTACTCAGACTGAAGCTATCCAGAAACCGTGCAATGTGCTGCAGTATTTCAAAGGGTAAATTTCCAATAGAACAGACTGTAAAGTTGGCATGCTCGTCAGATTCCTTCATTGGAGAGTTGGATTCACTGGGCATAGCTCTGTTGTTTTCAGCATACCCAGTCTGTGCGGGAAGGGATGGTCTAAGACCAAAACTTGCTAGGCTTTTGTCATGGGTGATACGGTTGCCAGTACACCCAGGATGTAGCCTTCGCCTTGAATACGTACATCCATATATGGCCAGCGGACATCGCTGCTCCAACCATCCATTCAAACCACCATGAATTTCACTGTGAACATTCTGAAAGTGACTAGAGAATTCATCCCTTCTGAAGTCCTGGGCGCACAGAAAGGTATACATAGATTTGTGTTTGTTCTGGTACCTTGTAACCATTTCTAAAGTGATATCTAAGCCGAGTGTCTCACTGAAGACTGGCGCAGGTAATAGTGGTGGCGTTGGTGGTCGAGTGAATGAAGATGTTAGTGGGGTTGTTACCATGGTACTAGAATGGTCTCTGGCTGGAGCTGCGGAGACATCACTTACGATAGACTCAGTAGCAAAAATACAATTGAGTTCATCACAGTTTTCATGGTGACCATTTCCTGGGAGTTGTCCATGAGTACTGTCGATAGTGTGTGACTTCTGTGGGGAAAGCATGTACCAGAGTATTCATTATTATGAAGAGAAGTGAAAATAGTGGAATATACATAATAAAGTTTTATCATGAAAATAAGATATTCAAAAAAAAGTTTGATCAAAACTGCATAGAAATGTTCACCATTTCATAATTTGAAAAAAAATTCATGTAAGTCAGAACCGAGTGAAGGTCTCTGACTCCATAGGACCTCAGTGAAAGCCACTGTGACTCCCTAAGACATCAGTGAAAGCCACAGTAACTTCCTAATTAGAGAACCCAGTAAATTTTTCAAAGCAACAATATTTTGTAGTTTTCAGGACTTTCAAAATGTAATTGTCTCTTATGATTGAAAGGCATGACTGCAATATTTTAAGGTTAATAGCACAGTTTTGTCAGTGCGACATTCAAAATTGTGGTGGCGTATATCAAACTACACACTAGTTACTCCTAGGCCCTATTTCACACCAATCTTGATTTCATTGATAAATACTTGTAAATACAATGCCAAAAAAGACAACAGATAAGGTTGATTACACAAACAAAACGTGTACTGTAAAGGGGGTAATTATTCACTGGGTTTTAATTTAGCTTATTTCGCTGACTGGAAAAATGCGCTAAATTAAAACACAGTGAATATGTAAAATTTAGCATAGAACACATTATCTAAATGACGAAACCGTGAATTTAAAACCCACTGAATATGCCCGAAATGGTAAATCAGTGAAATTTAAACCCAGTGAAAATTAGTCATTTTACA